TTACTTGTGGAGTAGGACACTTATTTTTTTAATTAATTTAATTTAAATTTAATTTTATTGTGATTTGGGTGAATGTGTACAGAGCAAATTCATTTTCCATTCAGCAGTTTGTACACATTTTGTTTCATGACACTGACTGCAATCCCCACAATGTAGCAACTGTCTTCCTACTTCCTCCCTATAGTTGGTTACCTCTTTCCTGTGTCCTTCTTTCCTATGCATTCCTGGGAGATAAAGATTTTGTAATACTTGACCAAGCAGGGCATAGGCCAACCGGAGGGTCCCAGGGCTGAAGAAGAGGTCTGCCTGTGGGCACAGATGAGAAACTGTTTTAACCAAAGAACTGTATCCTGAGTTGTTCCTGATACTGACTTTTGAACTGTTACTTCCCCAATAAACTCCATAATTGTGAGTATTGTCTGTGAGTTGGGTGTAGCGGTTGCAAAAAATTATCAAAGTAGATAGTGCTGTGGGAGGGACAGCTGGTGTCAGAATTGATGAGAGGTTGGAGGCTAGAGGAATCAGCCTTGGGCTGATTATACCACAATTTGATTTTATATTCATCTCCTGATGGACATTTGAATTTCTTCTAATTTTGGGACATTACACATACAGTTCTTTCTCTGTGTAGACACATGCTTTCATTTTTCTTGTGTAAATACCTAGGAGTAGGATGGCTGGGTGGTATGGTAGGTATGTATTTAACTTTTTAAGAAACTTACAAACTGTTTGCACCATTTTACATTCTTGTCAGCAGTGTATGAGTTCCACTTCCTCCAAATCCTCAGCAACAACTGGTATGATCAGTTGTTGCTGTTACAGAGGGTGATGCTGCTAACCAAAATGTTGGAGGTTCAAGTCCACCTGGAAGCACCTTGGCAGAAAGGCCTGGTCATCTACTATCTACTTAGTCAGCCATTGAAATCCCTGTGAGCACAGTTCTACTCTGATAACATGGGGTCATTGTGAGTCTGAATTGACTCAGCAGGCAAATAACTAGTTTGTTTAGTTGAGTATGTAGGAAGTGGTATCTCTTTGTTTTAATTTGCATCTCTTTAATGACTAGTGATGTTGAGAATCTTATTTGCTGTCCATATATTTTCTTTAGTGAAATGTTTGTTAAAATATTTTTCCTATTTTTTTTAATAGGGTTCACTGGTTTCGTATTATTGAGTTTTTGTTTTCTGTATTCTGGATACTAGTCCTGTATCATACATAGCAAATATTTTCTCCTAGTTGGGGCTTATACATTTTTTTAAATGTATTTTATTGAAATATAATTTATGTACAGTGAAATACACAAAACTAAAGTGACATGGGTCAATGCATTTTTTTTCCAGTGTTTCCTCCCCTCCCCTCCCACCCCCAACAACAAACAAAGAAAGTTTCCCTCCCTATATAAACCTTTCCTTGACCCTCACAACACCGAATTAATACTATATTTGTCCTTCTGTGATTGACTTATTTCACTCAGCATAATGTTTCCAAGTTTATCCATGTGATGTGGTGTTTTGCAGACTACATTATTCTTTAGTGCTGCATAGCATTCCATTGGTGTATGTACCACAGTTTGGTCATCCACTCTTCCGCTATAAATCTTGGAGATAAGTCCCTTGCCAGGTATGTAATTATCAGCAAATATAAATTTGTTGCTGTCATTTTTGTTATGTGCTTTTTCATCGTGTCAATTTCTTTGTTCCATATAATTTTCTGTGCTGAGCTCGTTTTCTTTATGAATTGTGTTATCACTTCCTTCATTGCTATTGTTTCAGTATTTGCTGAATATTTATGCTGGTACTCTTTTTGATGTGAAGGTTTATCATTTTTCTTTGAGGTTACCCTGTAATTTATGATTTTCTTCCCAAGTTTAGAACCGTCCATTCTATCTTGTAGTTGTCTTGACTTCCCTACCATCTAGAAGTTCTGTAATGACACAGTTTTCTCCCTCTTTTTGGTTTGTAGTTGTCCTCATTTGTCAATTGGTGACTCTGGTTCCTGGTTCCCTGTTAACAATCTTGTAGGCTTTACTTTGGATACTTCCGTAGCTGGGTTGGTTTCTGGGTTATATCATCATGTGTATTAATAGGCAGTTGCTTCCTGTTGTTGCTTCTCTGTCCAATGGGCTCCGTTTAGCATCTCTTATAAGGTTGGTCTGGTTTTAACAAACTCCCTTAATTTCTGCTTATCTGGAAATGTCCTAATTTCACCATCATATTTTAGGGACAGTTTTGCTGGGTACATAATTCTTGGATGGAAATTTTTCTCTTTCAGGGTTTTATATATACCATCCCATTGTCTTCTCACCTGCATGATTTCTGTCGAGAAATCCGAGCTTAGTCTTATTGGTTGCCCCTTGTAGGTAACTTTTGGTTTTTCCTATACTGCTCTCATGATTCTTTCTTTGTCTTTGGTTTTGGTAAGTTTGTTGAAGATATGTCTGGGTGATTTTCTTTTGGGGGTCTATGCTGTTTGGGGTTTGTTGGACTTCCTGAATGGATATATTCTCATTTTTCATCATACCAGAAAAATTCTCTTCCAGCAAATCTTTGATAATTTTCTCTGTGGTTTTATTTGTCTCTTCCTGTTCTGGAATTCCAGTTATAGATAGGTTATTCCTTTTGATGGTATCCCAAATAAACCTTAGGCTTTCTTCATTTTGTTTTGATCTTTTTTCTGATTGATCTGTTTCCAAGGAAGTGTTCAGGTATTTGCCTTCAATCTCCCTGATTCTGTCTTCCATCGATTCAGTTCTGCTCCTTTGCCATTCAATGTCTTATCTATTTCTGAAAATTTAGTTAGTCTTCTGGATTTCTATCTGTAGATTTTTTATTATTTCTGATTTTTCATTGATTTTGTCATTTTGTTCTTGTATTGTCTTTCGAAGTTGTTCTAGGGTTTTCTCTCAATTTTGTCAGTGTTTTCCTTGATCTGTCTCCCAATCCGTTGAAGGTACCTAAATATAATTCTTTCAAATTCCTTATCAGGGCGTTCCATTGCTGCTTCTTCCTCAGGGATGTGTTTTGGGTCTGTATCCTGGTCCCTTGTTTCTCTTGCTTTATCTTGCTTCTTTGTGTGGACTGTGATGTTCTTTTGTCTCCAAGGCATTGTGATGTTTTTGTGTTTATATTTAATTGATGATTGTATGCTGGAGTGATTTGCCTATGATTTTCGTTTTCTTTGTTTGGTTTGTATGTTATCTATATAAGCAGGGTACTGTACTCCTCTTTTCACTAGTTGGCAGCACTTAAACACTCACCACCTATTTCTTTTCCCGTTGTCAGCCTCTCGTATGTCCCTGCCGACCTTTGCAAATGGAGCTTGTTCTTAGGTCTTTGGACTCCAAATGAGAATGTTGTCACTTTAAAATCCAATATGGCCACTGCTTGTAAACATTCGAAATGGCTGCACCCTCAGTCACTTTAAATATCCAAAATGGCCACTGCTTGTAAATATCCAAAATGGCCACCACTTGTAAACCATCAAAATGGCTGGGCTCTCCAGACAGCTGAAAGTCCAAGCTCAGGTTGTCTCCCTCCTTGCTGTTTTCCCTTCCTAGTCATAGGCCATAAGCGCAGTCGTCCCTACAGCCCTTGGCAACAAGGGCTGATCTTCAGGTCAATTCTCAGGTCCCAGCACCGCTTGGAAATATTCAGGCTGTTGTCCTGGCAGAGTAGCTGACAGTCCGCAGCTCCAACCATCTCTGTACTCACTGTTTTCATTCAGGTTTTTCCACTAATTGGTGCCTAATCCACTTCTGAATACTTCCTTTCAAAGCTCAGGGCTCCAGGATTATCTTCTGTGTCTCTGTCAATTAGTTTCTCTTTTCTTTGTTGAAGTGGGCCTGTGTAGCTTGTCTGCCTATTCCTCCATCTTACTGGAAGTCCCCACGGTGTTGATTTTAATGTTGGTTTTGACATCAATTTTGATCCATAAATTGGTTAAGAGAAAATTCAGAAAACCCAGGCGTTGGAGGAGTGTTTTCCTCATTCGTACTTTTATATTTTTCTGGTTTTATTGTATTGTGGTCAAATGATGAGGTTCCCATGTCATGAGACAAAATGTGTATGAAGTGCTGGAAAATGAGTTTGCTCTGTAAACTTTCATCCAAATCACAATTAAAAGAAAAAAAAAAAAGAAGAAAAGGAAAAAATTAAAAGGAAGAGGTTTTCTCTGTAACTACTCTGGAATTTAAAGTTTTCTTTGAGGCTTCATAGGTTGGTTTTGGTCAGTGTTTCATAGGTGCTAGATTAAAAATGCCAACTCTGTTTTCAGGATACAGAGTTCAACATTTTCCTCTAGATGCAGTCTTGTTAATTATACCTATTCAGCGTTCTTTTGTATTTATTTTGGTCTTCCCTCTCTGTCAGGAGCTCTGGTGGCATAGTGATTGGTTAAAGCCTTTGGCTGCTAACCTAAACGTTGGCAGTTGAACCCATTAACCAGTTGCTCCACAGAAAAAAGATGAGGCAGTCTGCTTTCAGAAAGATTTATAGCCTTGGAAACACTGTGGGGCAGTTCTACTGTGTCCAGTAGGGTCACTTTGAGTCAGAATCAACTCAGTGGCAATGGTTGGGTTGGGTTTGGTATCCCTCTCTGTCAACGACAGAGAGATATTCAAGTGTTGCACAAACATATTTCTACCTGGTTGAAGAGCTGTATTGTCTGTAGTGACTGACTTGATCTTGCAGTTTGGCTATAAGAGCACTTGCTTCTGGCCATGGCCTTCCTTTGGCAGGTGACCCCTTTGTCTTGGTTTGATAGAAGCACCCAACGCTTTGACTTTCAGCCCCTCTGGGGTCATTCAGAAACCACAGAGAGACCCCTGAGTTCTCAGTGTCTTTTGGTAAATTGAACTTGAGCCATTTTCCTTGAAGAAATGAGTGTGTGTGTCTGTGTGTATTGTATTGTTACAGATAATGTGTTTGTTCACTTGACTTTGTTTCTACGAATACAGGCATCCGTGTTTCTTTGCCCGACGTCCCCACCCACCAGCTGTGGCAATGGAGCAAGAGAAGAACAGCCTGAGCAGGGAGCTGAGTCCGGACCTGGCCCCGTACCGCTGTACGGCGTGCCATGGGGACGAGGACTGGAGCCACAGCCACCCCATCAGGGGCCGGGCCAAGTCCCGCAGCCTGTCTGCCTCCCCTGCCCTGGGGAGCACCAAGGAGTTCAGGTGTGACTGGCCACCCTCTCTTTGATTCCTTTATATGGTTTATTAGAATTGTTCCCAAGAATTCCTTGAAGTGATGTGTGTCTTTGCATGTAGATATCGATGAATGTGATGTCTGACTTGGAGGTGGGGTGGATGTTGTCCTGAGAAGAGGGCACCTGTGGGACCCATGGTGGGGGGTGGCTCCTGTGGGGTGTTGCAAGTACAAGCTCCCAGCTGGCTGTCATTGTGTAACTACCTAGGACATTGACTCGAGGGTCCTGTTCTCTGTGAGAATCAAGAGTCTGATGGGTAGAGTGGTGTAAAGAGTCATGTCAGGTCCACCCAGGGGTTCAGAGATGGGTGGGTAGAGCGTGAGGTCAGGCTGGGTCAACACACACTCGTTGACAAAGGCAGGATATATGGGTGAGTTGAGAGGTCACAGTAGGTCCAGCAGGGATGGGTGGGTAGGGTGAGGGGTCAAGGTGGGCCCCCACAGGGATGGGGATGGCAGCTGCAGAGGCCTTGAGTCTGTCTGTACTTGATGGAGGTTGGGGCAGGTTGACACTCTCACACATTGGGACAGGCTTATGGGCCATCTCTCTCTCCTTGCCCAGCCTGCCTCCGGCCACTTTGCAAGTCCCTGTGTCACAGCATTGGGCAACAGTGTGAGGCTGCCTTACGGGCCCAGAGCTGAGGTTGCACCTGGGCTGTCCTCTGACTATAGCACCATAACGTGTGGGGTTAGGAAGATGTGTTCCAGCCACTGCTATGTCCCCAGGATAAGGATCACATCTGGGAAATCCCAGTGGTGGGACCTGGTTAGGTAGAAAGTAGTTTAAAGAGTTGAGTGGCCTCATCCAATGGGAGGCAGAGCCACGGGCCCCTTGATTGATGAGGAGCTGTAGAACCTCTGACCGGGTAGGTGGTATCCATGTGCAGCTGCCCTGGACATATCATCCCAGGCTCCGTTTCACCCCTCCTCCTCCTTCAGGCCGCCTCAGGGCAGTGGTGGCATTTTCTTGGCAGAATGGCTTTGGTTCTGGATTTAGATTTGTTTCTGGAATAGCACACATTTCTTCATATTCGAAGATGTAGACCAGATGGCTGCAGAGTAGCCATGGCTGCTCCAGGACTCAGTGAAGCTGGCACAGAGCTGGGTGGACACGTCCAGCAGCCTGTCTTGGCAGGAAGGGACCATTGACTCCCAGATGGAAAAGCACTTTGTTTTCTATGGGCCCAGAGTGCATGTCCAGGCATCTTTGAGGTTCCTGATTAGAGTTCTTATTACAGAAGCCCAGTGCTGCTGCATCCAGAAGCCCCACTATGTGTCCTGTGGCCCCACACAGATCGTGGGAGGTTCTGGGGTTCTCATGTCACGGGAGCTGGGGAAGAAGCCTGGGGATTCCTATGTCACAAGGGCTTCCTGGCTGCAGTGGCCCCTGATTTTGGTAATCAGTTGTGGCAGGTCATTGCTCAGTTACTGGAATATTGGCCATTCAGTCATATCTTTCTTATTGGCACATATGACTCAGATGTTTTTGTTTGATTTTAATCTAGTTGTTTCAGGACTATGTCTAAGGTCCTGATTCCCAAGCATAGATCAAGGGCTGGTTCTCACATAGAATTGCTGAGATGCTTGTAACAAATTCAGACCCCAGACTTCACCCCAGGTCTCATCCCCACAGTCTGGCCAGCCAGAACCCACCTCCCTTTGAGTGTCACTGTCCTGAGGTCCCTGGTGCATTTCAAGGCCTCTGGTTGGAGTTCAAGTGTGCGCAGCAGTGAGTGGCACAGACACACCAGAGGCCAGGTGCAACTTTCAGGACCTTGTCTGGAGTGCAGACAGTGATAGGGTTAAAACCCTTAGAAGTAAGTGTTCTTCAGAGTCTGCACACTCTCTCTAGCTGTCCTTGGTGTCCTGCCCTCCTGTTGCCCTCTGGCTGACTCTCACCTGCTCTCTCCCCACAGGAGGACCCGCTCCCTCCATGGGCCATGCCCGGTGACCACTTTTGGACCAAAGGCCTGTGTGCTACAGAACCCTCAGACCATCATGTAAGTGTGAGGCACAGGCCTCCTTTTGGGTGTGATGCCATGCTGGTGAGAATCGAATCCTTAGTGCAAGACGTACTGCCTTGTAACCAGGCCCCATGTTCCTGGGAGGGAGGTGTGGGGAGATGAGGGGGACGTGGACGGGCCCTGTTGGGGTGTGACTGCCGTGACAGTAAGAGATCTGACCCTCAGCGTGAGGCACGCTGCATTGTAACCAGGCCTCCTGAGTACGCAGGTGCCGAATGGGGGTGGCGTGTGCATCTGTGGCCCGGCAAGTAGGGTGGCTCTAGACAGAAGAGGCTCAGGTTTATGTTGTTCTAGCTGTGAGGAAGCTGACTGTGCTCTAGACCAACACACCCAGTGGCCAAGTGTGCTGCTTCTATGATTATTCCAAATTGGAAATACGCTCATCAGCTCTGCTCTCGTCTGGTGTTCCTGTTTGGGAAGCATCCCATCTTGCTGTCATCAAGCACCATCTAAATGGTTGGAAGGCATCATGCCAGAGGACCCTGGGGACCCCACTCCCCTTGTGTGCATCTAAAGCCTGTGAAAGAGACTCTAAAACTGAGCTGGGTCAGGCCACCTAGCTCAGTTCCTGCTCGTCAGGGACTCTGCCACCCATTCCTCGTGCAGTGGAGCCCAGTGTTGGGCAGCACCAAGGGGACACGCACCCCGTCCCAGTGTGCTCTGTCCTTGCACTCCACTGGGTCCTGGTGTATGTTTCATGGGGACACTAACATACTCTTATGTGACCATCTTATGTTTGAAAGGTTAAAATTCCACCTCAGGGGCTCGACCTTTGGGGACAGTGGGATGTTTCTTACTCTAAAAGGATTAATCATGCTCAGGATTAATCGGCCCATCTGCTCAGGTAAGCCCATCAGGGCCTTATCTGTGAAGTCATAGACTTAGAGCCTCAGGGCTGTAGCTTTACATTCCCACACATCACAACATGTCCCCACCACAGAGACACAGCATCCTTACCGTGATTGTGAAACAAAAAGAGTAATTTGAGAGCATGAGATTCATAAAGGAGCAGGTCATTCTATTACCTTCTTAACAGGGAGCTCCCCAACCTTCGTGCCCAGTGACACTTGGTAGTCTGGACAACAGGGCTATGTCAGGGTGGGTGCAGTTTTGGCCCTCTCCATCAGGACTCCCAACACGGGCCCTCCATCGTTGGGGTGGGGTGACAACAGGACCCGCCCTCCTCGCCCAGGCTGTCTTCATGGCCACTCTGCAGATTGTGAGGTGCTGCCTACGTCAGTCCCAGCAACGACAGTGTCTTCCCACCCCTGCCCGTCAGCAGGGACGGCTGCTTTGTATGGCTGAGGTACCGTCTAGGCAGATACCTCAGGTAAGGCAGTAGAGTTTGTTGGACTTGGGCTGCTGACAGCTATGGCTAGAGCTTTCTTGCAGGATTTCAGACTGGATGCAGCCAGAACTGAGGCCCCCCCCAGTCTATCTAGTTACTTCTGCAGATGTCAGGATAGTGCTGCCATTCCTTTGCCCCCTGTATAACCCATCAGCAGAGTCTGTCCTTTAGACTCTAAAACCTATCGCCAAGCCCCATGGCTGCACCGTGTACTCGCCCCACCCAGAGCTCTGTGCACAGCAGCCACTATTTGATGGATCGATCAAGGCACAGCCATATCTTGTGTGCCCCGTAATGTCCTGGGAACTTGTAGCTGGGTCCTGGCTGTCAGCTTCTGCTGCTCCACTTCCTGGTGCTTACCAGCAGTGCACACCAGGCTTAGTCCGGCCATGGCCTGGCACCGGCCGTTCCTCAGCCGGGGCTTCTCCCAGTCTCCATTCTCTTGTCATTTTCATCTCAACCAAGTGCCACCATGACAGAGGACCCTGGCCGCCTGGTCTTAATTAGCCACCCAGTCCTCCTGCACCGTGGCTCTGTCTGGTGTTTTCTGTCTGTCACCTGTCTTGTGAGGACTTGTCAGGGCACACCCAGAGCCCGCAGGGAACCCTCCACTCCAGAGGTTCGGGATGCATTTCAGTTGGGGGGCCTGTCAGGCTGTGAGGCAGTGAAGAGAGAGCTGCTTTCTTTGTCCTGCCATCTGCAGGTCACCATGGCAGTCATGGTCTGAGCCAAGAATGTCTGTGGGACCAAAGTCCCCTAGAGGCACAGGGCATCTTTTTAGTCCCGTGTCTGCCACCCCTACCCAGGGCTCATGCAGGGCTCCAGCTTAATATGTATTTACCTTTTCACCACTATTCACAAGTAAGATGGCTATTGAGAGGGGTGACAACAGGGGACTTCACTGACAGGTTTTTACCACCGATTCGTGGTCTGTACTGGGTTGAGATAGTAATCTCACATGATTCAGCCCCATGCAGACAAGAGCTGCATATGCAGTGCCATCATGGCCTGGGCACCTGTCTGGAGAGGCCATGTCCACTGGGCCAGTATGGTGCCCTCATAGCCCAGGCACCAGACCAGCTACAAATGACCCAACAGGAAGTGGAATAACTGGTTTGTGGTCACACAGAAGGGCAGACACCAGACCTGAGCAGGGGACAGCTGGAAGCCTCAGGCCTGGAGAGCCCTGCCCAAACGTTGGGGAGGTACAAGCCGGTGGGGGGGGGAAGGTGTGGACCTCGGTCACCCTCCAGAGCCAATTAGTCACTCACTGCCCAAGGCCGACAGCAGGTGACAGATTTGTTGAGGAGTGGGTGCTTCCCTATCACTGTGACCCAAGAGCTCCTCCCACAGCAAGCCGGTTCTGCCAGCCAGGATGGGCCACCAGACAGGCAGTCACTGTGGTTTTCTGTACTTCTGGGACGATGCTGAAGGGCACTGCTGAGAGCAGCCAGAAGGACTGCCTTCACCCCTTGCCCAACCACACGTCCTGCACACGGGGCTTCTCTCTGGTTGCTAGTGTCTTGGGGGCGACCCGCCAAGGGAGCGAGGTTAGGGTATCTATGGGCTTGTGTATGGGCAGGTGGCCTGAGGCTTTTCTGCTTGGCCCTGAAAGGTAATCTTTTGGCCTTTGTAAGCAGGAGATTAAGCAAGAAGACTGTGTCAATAATGAGACAGCTAAGCAAGTTTGCTTTGTGGCTGTTTCATTTCTGGAAGCTCCTTGGTTGGGGCTGGCTCAGTTGCGCTCTGTTTTTGGTTTGTAGATGCAGAACTTAGGTTGGCAGTGGGGAGTGCCCCTTGGGAGGCCTGTGGTGGGCTTGAGTCACATTCCTGCAGCTCAGCACAACATGGCCACATGCTGCAGGTGCCTGGCAGCCCTCGAAGAGTGGGAGGCTCCTGCTCCCTGGCTGCAACCTGGAGACCCAGCGATGAGGCTCCCGGAGGAGGTGGCAGGCAAAATATACTGGTCAGGCCCATGCTTTCTACCAATACTGACAGCACTTGGGGCTATCACATTTTGGGGGGCCACTGTCCCTGATGAGGCACTGTTTTGAGCAAGTTTCTTGGCTTGAGGGCTTTTATCAGAAAGGGAAACCTTTTTGCTGGACTTACACTGTGGTGTTAGAAACTGTTTCCCAGCAAGCTGAGAGGAGGAAGTGTGGCAGCTGGGGCACTTGTGGCCCTCAGTAGCCTTGAGCCCCAGCTGGTACAGCAGAGATGGGCCTATAGGGGTAAGTGTCACCCCATGAAGGTCCTGGGATGTTCTAGGGTTAAGTAGGGTGGGCTCCACCTTGGGAAGAATGCCCTGGCTCCCAGTGCCACACAGCCCAAGCCAGAGTATTGCAGAGATGTCTGGAAGCTACGCTTAGGTAGGGCAACAGCTGACTTTGAACTGCTTTTCACTGTTGAAGTTTGCAAGTGAGTAGATGGTTCTAAAGAAGCTCTGGTAGCATAGTGGCTAAGGCATTTGACTGCTAACCAGAAGGCTGGCAGTTCAAACCTACCAGCCACTCCTTGGAAGGACGGTTGGGCAATCTACTTCCGTAGTGATACTGCCATGGAAACCCAAGGAGAGGTCGCTATGAGTCGGGCCCGACTTGAGGGCACATAACAACAACAACAGGTGGTTCTAAAAGTGTGAATGGGACAGGCCATGTGTGCCCCACAAGGGCCTGCAGAGGTGTAGGGGGTGGAGCTCCAGAGTTAAGGGGTTGGGGCTGGCTGTGGGAGGCAGCATCCTCTGCTGGCTCTGGGCAGGGCGAGGGGGCGGCTCAACCCAAGATCAGGGCTCTTGGTGGTGGGCCCACTAGGAACCAGAACATAGCGCCTATGAAGATTGGGCGTGGGGGTACGTGGAGGTTCTGGGTTTATGATGAGGTGCCCTGGGGGATGTAGACTCAGAGATATTGTGGGGGATCGTGAAGGTGGAGCAGGGCCTTCTACTAGAAGCAGCAGGAAGGACATCAGCTGGATCCAATGTACCTGTCAGCCTTGTTTGTAAATCAGGGCATGTTCAAATCTGCTGGCCAGCCAGTGCAAAATGGTGGGCAAGCCTGGCAAAAGCGCAGTAGCCAGGGCCAGGAAATATCATTCAGAGCAGTGGCCTTGAGTGCACATCTGCTGGATTTTAGCATCTTCCCTTTCCATGTCTTGTGCCCTCTTCTCGAGGGGAGATGGCATGTGGAGTGACTTCTTCCCACACAGGCACATCCAAGACCCTGCAAGCCAGAGGCTGACGTGGAACAAGGCTCCGAAGAGTGTCCTTGTCATCAAGAAGATCCGTGATGCCAGCCTGCTGCAGCCCTTCAAGGAGCTCTGTGTGTACCTCATGGAGGTGAGCCCGGGTGGGGCCCTTTCACCTGCACCCTGCTGACCTGCACTCCCGCTGGGAGAGTGAGGCATGGGGAAGCCCTGACCTGCCAGGCTGGGAGCCCTTAAACTCAGCAAGTGTCACGGAGCCTCCAGCCTGATGTGTCTGTATGTGAAATGTACAAATTGAAAACTACCTGTGGCCAAGAAAGAGGAGTCATTTTACCTGTTGTGTTACAGTGTTTAAAGGAGGCTTAGGGAAGCTCCCGTGGCATAACCTGGAGCTTGTTGGTGGGGCCTGATGGGGCTCCGGAAGGGCCTCGGCACATTTTGCTTCTAGGAGAACAACATGATTGTGTACGTGGAAAAGAAAGTTCTGGAAGACCCCGCTATTGTGAGTGATGAGAACTTCGGACCAGTGAAGAAGAAATTTTGCACTTTCAGAGAAGGTGAGGCTCTGTTCTCTGTCATGGTTTAAGAACACAGCCCCATACCTGGTAAGCTACCTGTCTGTCATCGGTGTTGGCCACACTGTGGCATCTATACTAGGGGTAACATGAGGGGTTTTGTTTTGTTTTTCTTTTCCAGATTACGATGACATTTCCAATCAAATTGACTTCATTATCTGCCTTGGGGGAGACGGGACACTGCTGTATGCCTCCTCCCTCTTCCAGGTGATGTGAGGGGCTACTGTGCTTATGGTTTAGTGCAGTGCAGGGAGGTGTTTCCCGAATGTTGAGTTCTGTCATCTGTCCATGTCAGCTTTGTGCTACAGAACTGCAACACTGTAGGCTATTCTTGCTGACATGGACTGACTTGCTTAGACTCACTTATTTGACGGTAGAGCAAGTTTGCAGATAGCCCGGTATAAGATGGGCTACTGCTGCCCCACTCCTGTCCTTGCAGCACAGACTGTGTTGAGGGCACAGGTGGGGGCATGTGAGTGTGAGGCCCAGACTGGAAACGTCCAAGAGGGGCAGCTGCAGATCCAGGTAGAGACGAACTGGGGTGGGAGGGACTGTAGGGGGACCCATGGAGGAACCACCCGTGGAGGGAGCACAGGGTCACCTGAGCCCATCTCTGGAAGGACCCAGCCTATAGCACCCTGGAGGATCCCATGGGGAGCAGAGGAGAGCAGGCTAGGGGGACAGGCAGGGCTGGCACCTGGGAGGATCTGTGGCCTCATCTGAGGGTGGGCTTAAGTATTGGAGTGCTGGGAGATAGGCACGCTGTGGCCCACATCCCAGCAGTCTGGCTTCACCCACCAGCCTGGCTTCCCCTCATGTGCTGTGTCCAGCACTGTCCATCTGCCCAGGGCCTATCCTATGAGCTGCTGCCACCCTGCTGCTCTGTTCCCTGATGGTCATGTCCTTGGCTGACTCAGCTGTCCTCTTCATCCTGCCATCTCACATGGCCACCTCCTTGCTCTCTCCAGTCCTTAGCCCAGCAGCCTCTCTTAAGGGTGACAGCTTCTTTTGCAGCAGAGCCCTGCCCACACCTAGCCCTGACCCCGGCACCCAGCCATGTAGCTGTTGCCTGACCCACCTGCCCTGCTCACACCACACTGCCTTCTCTCCCAGAGCCCGCAGCTGGCCTCCCATGGCCAGACATCATTATCACTTCACAAGGCACTTCTGCCTTGCCAGCCAGTTGATTGAGAGTCTTACTTGTTCTATATGTTCTCTGGGTCTCCTCACTGTCCACTCCTTTGGCCTCCTTCTAGCCCAGCCTGGACCCTGCCACTCACTTCCTGACCTCAAGATAGTCACCTCATGTCTTCCCAATCCCCTCAGGTTCATGAGACTTCACCTTCCTGAGTCTGCCTCCCAGGCCTGAAACGGCCTTCTGGCATGTCTTCTGCATCCCTCTTGGGTGTAGCTCCCTCACCCTTACAGTGATTCTTGCTCTCCAAGAGAGTAGGGCTCTGGGTGCTCTAGGCAGTCCATGTGGCTTCTGGCATACCAGAACTGAGAACCTGTCTTGTCCACCCACAGGGCAGTGTGCCCCCCGTCATGGCCTTCCACCTGGGCTCCCTGGGCTTCCTGACCCCCTTCAACTTTGAGAACTTCCAGTCCCAAGTTACTCAGGTGATAGAGGGTGAGTTGGAAAGTTCTGGAGCCCACATGCAGCCCCAGTTAAGGTCTCCCTCTCACTTGGTGGATGTTTGGTGTTTTTGTTTTTTAACAATGCATGGTGCATTTAAGTTCCAAGGGCTGGAGATTTCCAGATCCTGAACGATTCAAACATTACTGATATGTTGAAGCATATCACCAGATCACAGGTTGGAGCTGCCGTGAAGACATGTACTACATGGTAGACAGGCGTTGCTCTTCCATAGAAGGCACAAAAATGCTGTGTTCAGTTTGGGGAAGGTGGGGTCTCTGCCTGCTCCGTGGGGCCACCTGACCTTAGCAGACGTGCTGGCCGGTGTTCTAGGGAATGCAGCCATCATCCTCCGGAGCCGGCTCAAAGTGCGCGTCGTGAAGGAGCTCAGAGGGAAGAAGGCGGCAGCTCCGAATGGGGTCAGAGAGAATGGCACGCTGGCCCCGGACACCGATGTCGGGAAGCAGGTCATGCAGTACCAGGTCTGTGAGCACGTTGGGGTAACCTTGGGCTGGGGACTTCCCACATGCAGGAGCCCTCCTGTCCTCCTAGAGGAGTCCTACGGACAGTAATCCCCTGTAGGGCCAGGGTACCCTGATCCTGGGAAGTTGTAGCTGTGCTTCCCAGCATGGTTTGGAAACGCCCTGTGTAGGCTGCCACATCTGCAGCCTGTGTCTGGCAGAGTGTGTTGGTGCCCTCCCCTTGGCTGCAGTGCACTGGTGTTATCCCCTTAGCCACGCCTTGTGCCGTGTTCTGCTCTTCCCTGAGTACACGTGGCCCCTCTGCACCCTCAGGTCCTAAATGAGGTGGTAATTGACAGAGGCCCTTCCTCCTACCTCTCCAACGTGGACGTCTACCTGGACGGACACCTCATCACCACAGTTCAGGGTGACGGTGAGTGGACTGAGCCCCTGCTCACCTAACTTTATGCTCCCAGAGAAGGCAACTGGGCCTGGCGGGGCTGTAGGGGACCTGGATGCTACCTGCTGCCTGCAGGGGCAGCCCTGTGGGTGGCTGCCATGAGACCCCTGTGTCTCAGCAGGAGTGATCGTGTCTACCCCGACCGGAAGCACGGCATATGCAGCTGCAGCTGGAGCCTCCATGATCCACCCCAACGTGCCAGCCATCATGATCACCCCCATCTGCCCACACTCGCTGTCCTTCCGGCCCATTGTGGTTCCTGCCGGAGTGGAGCTCAAGGTCAGCATGGTTCCTGTGTCCCCTTGTGCAGGAGGAGGTCAGCCGTGCCAGTGAGAACCTACCAGGCCCAGTGCTTCCACTTACACCGCCTCCCCACACCCCTTGAGGCCATTACACTGCTCCACGCCCCTCACAGCTGATACCTTTTGAGTGTTGATTTGCATCCACCCAGGGCTGGCATGTGGGGCCTCAGAAGCTCACCCTCTTGTCCTTGACCCACAGGTGTGACCGACACCTCCCTCCCCCATGGCCCCAGGTTTGGGCCTGGCTGTGCATGGAGCCCCCTCCTCACCCAAAAATGGGTGTGCTCAGGGATGCCCTTCCCCCTGAGTTCTCTGATCTGGCCTGGGTGGAAGGTCTCCTATGGGAAGTGGGCACATGGGGCTGTGGAAGGAAGTGAATGTCGGAATGAGGACCTCACCCTGTGGGTAGAGGGCCACTTGGAGCCGCTGCTGATGTGCAGCTCCTGCTGCCAGAGCCCCCACACGTGGGGGGTGGTTGCCACCCTGAGACCTACTGTGCCCCACCTCTTCTGTTTGGCTCCTAGATCACACTGTCCCCAGAGGCCAGGAACACCGCGTGGGTTTCCTTTGATGGACGGAAAAGACAGGAGATCCGCCATGGGGACAGGTATGTGGGCTGGGACTGGTTAGGAAGCCAGGAACAAAGGGAGGGGAAGGGCATGGGCACCACTGACTCCGCTTACCGTGGTACCTTGCCAGCCAGTCCCCCTGCACCCTTCTCTGTAATCTTGTCCCATAGAGGCTGTGCCCACTGTTCCCTATTTTTCTCTCCTCCAAGGATACCCATGGGGACAGCCAATTCCAGGGATGTACTGAAGAGGGAGATACCCCCCACCCCCGCTCCTCCCCTACACTGCAGGGTCCCTGTCAGGGAAACAAGTTGTGAAACCTGGTGCCTGGCTTGGCTGTCCAAGGAAAAGCCAGTGGACAGTGCCCAGCTGGCTACAGACTCCATTCCCTCCCCTGGGTCCTGTTCTTGTCCCCTCCATCCTACTGGGCACCAGCCTGTGGAGACCTTTGAGGTGCTGGTGATTGTCCTGGGTTGTCCCTTCCTGGCCCCTGGGTGGGGCGGGCAGGCCATGGTACTTAGTCCTGGGAGGGGTAGAGGTACACCTCCACAGCAGCACGTACCTAGCACCTGCTCTGGGCCTGACTGGGAGGGACAAGCTAAAGGACACGGTTGCCCATGGAGCCCCTCACTCGGGTGTCAGAGGACAGGGCAGTGGGTGGCATGAGCTGAGTGAGGATGTCATAGGCTTGGCAACGGAATGGATGAGCATTCCCAGGTCACCAGGATGGGAGCAGATGTCTCTTCCACCTTCCAGAGCTCTGCTCCTGGGAGACAGGCCATCAGGACAGGCCGAGGCCCACGGGGAGAAGCCTGTGGCCTGTGGCTCAGCTGCTGCTTGGCCAGCCTGGGGAGGTGCTTGGACTGACCTGGCTGTGAGCTGACTTGCTCACGCCACATCTCTTCCCACCTCAGCATCAGCATCACCACCTCCTGCTACCCACTGCCCTCCATCTGCGTCCAAGACCCTGTGAGCGACTGGTTTGAGAGCCTGGCCCAGTGTCTGCACTGGAATGTACGGAAGAAGCAAACTCACTTCACAGAGGAGGAAGAGGAGGAGGTGGGCGGGGAGGGGCAGGGCTAGGCCTTCTAGGGCCGAGCCTGGCGGCACGGGCAGCAGCGCCCTCCCAGCATCTGTGTCTTCCTGTACTTGCTTCACTTGCTCCTTGGGAACAGCCATCTGTGTATCTGTGGGCGTGTGTCCTAGAAGGTTGTGGCCTCGAGTAGGACCATGTGTAGCCCCAGATCATGTCCTTCCCACCTGTGGCCAAAGGAAGAGTCAGAACCTGCCTTTTCTCAGCCAGATCACTTGTTTATAACAAATTTGACTTATTTTTTGTGTTTCTAAACAAGCAAAGTGAGGCACAGTTGGGGTCTCAGTGTTGCTGCACACACACATGCGTGCACCAGCCACGTCCGAGTGTGACCCCAGGTCAGGGGCCGTGTGTTTGCGCCACCATCACACTCCCGTCCTTAAACCACTCATTTAAGTCACTTACTTCTTTGAAGCTCCATGTGAGGAAGTATCCATAAATCAGTATATTGAAATTTAAGAGGGTCAGGCCTAGTCGCCTGTCCTTCGATACTGAAATAAATGTCTCATAGTGAAATGTCTTCCCTTAGCCCCGATGCTTCCCCTTGTCCCTGAGCCTTTTCCCAGGAACTGCTTCCAGAGAAATCCGTGGGCACTTTGCCATGTGATTAGTGTAGGGGATGGTGAGGCTACTGGTTTTGCTCCAGTTTCTGGAGATGGTTGGGAGGGTCCCCCCTCCCGGCTCAGGGCCTCACCCTCGAGCCTCGCAGAGGTCTCTGTCCTCAAGGTTGTGGGGTATTTCCTCTTCCTGCTTCAGGCTGTTGTCTGTGGGCCCAGCGAGCCTGGCACGGGGCCAGAGGGGAGGCCAGGCCAGGGCCCACACACATTCCTACGCACAGGCTGGCACCTTCCACACGGGGAGATGTTTTAACCCTGTACATACTTTTTAGATATTCTTTTAAACTTTCTGAAGTGCTTATGTACATATTTTATTGTACATACTTTTGTGAAGATTTAAAAGGGAGGGGACTTGTCTTGCAAGGAAGCAAAGCCTGGTTCCCTGTTTACACTGTCCTGTGCACTGCTGCCCATAGGGACCATTCTGTGTGGGGAGTTGTATGGCCACGGTATGCTTGATGTACTGGACAGGAGGTCGGGTGTCTCAGGCTGGTGAGCCATTTCTGCTGGCCAGTTGTGGGTCTCCCTCGAGCAGGTTGAGTGGATTCACCTGGGAGGGAGACAGCAGCTGCACTGTGACTCAGTGCCTACCCTGCCTTTTCCCTCATCCTGAGCTTACAGAGAAACCATTCCAGCAGTCACTGTGCCCGTCAGCCACAGGGTGCTGGGCCACCTCCCAGTCGGTTGGGTGGGGAACAAGGGGGGAGAGAGAGAATATCCACAGAGATGTCGAGCCGCCCAGCTCACCTGCAGCCAGTGGTCAGTATAGCCTCGCTGGCTTCTGGAAGGGCATTTAGTTCAGAGTTGCATGCCTCTGCGCTTTGGTCGAAGAATTGCACTTTCGTCTGTAAGTTGACACAACAGGAGGGTGTGCGTCTGCCCATCCCCGGGTGTGCTGAGTTAGGCAAGGCTGCCATCCTGACCCCTCCTAAGGGCAGGTCGGCACCAGGTTCCACGTGCAGCGAGGTCTTAGTGTGTCCAGGGATGCCACTGCAGGGCCACTCGATGTTTGTGGCCTCAGGGTATCCTTTCCTCTCCTTCCACCTGCCCTTCCGGAACCTGAGGGCATTAAGCATTAGGGCCTGTTCCAGGGCCACAGTGATCCCAAGCCATGGGCCCATCCCCATCCTTGCCCTGCATGTCCATGCCCTCCTGGGTACCACAGCCTGTGAGGAATACCAAGCAAGCCAAGGTGGGCGAGTCCCAAGACCTCTGAGCCTTTAGGTCCAGGAGACAGGTTTAGAATTCCAGTCACTCAGAAAAAAAAGTGTTAACCAAGGCGCAAAGCAGCATGCTATTCAAATGATCTAGAACACTTTGGGTTTTTGAAGTGAGTTCTTAATATTTCATATTGTTAATAATCTTGAAATTTTATTAAATGTTGTTGAAAGCCTTATTACTATTTTCAGATACTTTCAATAAACAGACTTGTAAAAAAGTTGAGTTGTGTGACAGCTTCATTTTGGCTCTGTGGCAAGCAGAGATGAGAGGTGAGTGCTGGGTCTGCCAGTGTCTTCTGGCACCTGTAGGTGCCATCAGAGCAAGGCAGCATCCAAGGAAAAGATGGATGAGAGAAAGGTCCTCAGAACTGCCTGCAGTCCCTACCCTGGTGAGACCACTGGAGGCCGGCCACATGGAAGCATGGCATCACAGGACACAGCCTGCTCCTGAGTGGATCCTGCTCCTGAGCTGCTGTCAGCCCTGCAGCTGTGCTTAGGGCTGCCCGTCCTGGAGCTTGTCATGGCTTCACTCCCCAGAGCTAGACCCAGACCCTTCTGGGGCCCAGAGGCTGCTCGGGCTCCATCCACTGGACCACCCCCTCCACCCAGCACCAGCCTGCTTTGGCCTCTAGGAGCACACACACTGGATGAGGCCTGGGACTGCTCCTGGCCCCATCCCAGTGCCCTGCAGTCCTGTCGCTGGAGGAAGAGCATTTTGAGTATGGCTCTGGGCACATACATTGCCTACAGGGTCATTGTCCTCAACACGGCTGTATACCCCTAACCTAGACCTTCCTGGCCTTGAGGTCACATGAGAGAGGACAAAGGGGGTTGGGCACAGAGCCCAACAGACCAGGTGTTCCATCCATCTTGGCCATTGCTACAACAGCTGTGGCCACACTCCAAGAGTGACCTGGATGGTCTGCCTGGGAGCTTCCTGACCTGGGAGCCCCTGGGATTCTGAAAGTTGTGCTGGAGGTAAGGAGCAGCTCATAGGGGAGGCTTAATGGTAGAGGGGGGGCAGAGCTGGGGGGTACCTAGGAATGGTAGAGGAAACCCGGGGTTGAGGGGAAGTAGTGGGAAACACCTTTTGCTTTCTTCATGTATAAAGTCCTTGATGTCATCCCCCAGCTTATCTGGTCTTTGGTCATTAGTGTTCAGTGAGTCAAACCATTTTTTGACATGGTTTCTAAATTCAAGTGAGATATACTCAAGGTCACACTTTGGCTCTTGTCAATTTATTTTACTTGAAGCTTCAGGTTCAACTTGGATATGAACGGTTCATGGCCTGTTCCCAGCGGCCCCTGGTCTTGTTCTGACTGACGATACTGAGCTGCCCCATCATCTCTCCACAGATGTGGTTGATTTGATTGCTGTGTACGCCATCCAGTGAGGTCCACGTAGAAACATACTTGCAATGAATAGGTTGTTGGTCTTGAAAAACTATCATGCAATCTCCAGAGTCATTTCTATCACCAAGGCCATATTTTCCAACTAAAGATGCTTCTTCGTTTCCAACTATTAATCCTTCTTTGTTTCCAGCTTTCACATTCCAAACACCAGTAGTAATCAATGCAACTTGATTAGTGAAATGAAGCAATTAATTGTGGGAGAACAGAAGGGCTGTGTGTGCACAGGGAGATAGCTCGGAGGGCAGGAGTGCATGGGAGCAAAGGACACAGGGAAGAGGTAACTATGGGCAGGAAGTGGAAAGAGCGCTCTTGCATTGTGGGGAATTGAAGTCAATATCATGAAACGTGTATGAACTGCTTTATGGAAAATGAATTTGCTCTGTAAACTTTCACACAATCACATCAACAACAACAAAAATAAGTGTTAAAAAGCAAAGATGTCACCTTTAGGACAAAGGTGCACCTGATCCAAGCCATGGTGTTTTCAGTCACTTCATGCATGGGAAAACTGGACAATGAACAAGGAAGACCAAAAAAGAATTGATGTGTTTGCACTGGTGAAGAATACTGAATATACCAGGGACTGGCAGAAGAGCAAACAGATGTGCCTTAGAAGAAGAGCCAGAATGCTTCTTGGAAGGGAGGATGGTGAGACTTTGCCTCACATTCTTTGGACACATTATCAGGAGGGACCAGTCATGTTTGCTAAAGGATCTCATGCTCAGGAAGGTAGAGGCTCAGCAAAAAAGAAGACCCTCAACAGGACGGATTGACACAGTGGCTGCAACAATGGGCTCAAAAATAGTAAACATTGTGAGATGGCTAGGACTGGGCAGTGTCTTAACCTGTTGTACAGAGTCACTATGAGTCAGAACCAACTTGATGGCACTTAACAATAATAACAGTGGGGGGAGGGGGACACATTCACAGGAGCCCTGAGAAGTCAGGCAGGGGACAGAGCAGATGGCAGGAGAGGACATTTAACATGAGAGGCAAGTAACTTCTGGCATGTTCTGTCCCAGAAAGAGCCAGGCCCGAGCCTGTCTGCCTTCAGGTCTGGAAGCATTGAGAATTTGGCACTCCCACCTGTCAAAGAAGACTGAAGAAGAGTCGATGCTTTTGAGTTGTGGTGCTGGTGAAGAATGCTGAAAGTACGTACCATGGACTGCTAAAAGAACTAACAGGTCTGTCCTGGAGGAAGTACAGCTGGAATGCTCCTTGGAAGAGAGAATGGTCAGACTTTGTCTCACCTACTTTGGTCATGTTGTCAGAAGGGCCCATTCCCTGAAGAAGGATGTCATGCTTGGTAAAGTGGAGGGTCGGTGAAAGAGGGGAAGGCCCTCAACGAGATGGATTGACACAGTGGCAGAGGTGATGGGCTCGAGTATAGCAAGTATCGTGGAGCTGGCGCGGGACCAGGCAGTGTTTCATTCTGCTGTGCATAGGGTCACTATGAGTTGGAGACGATTCGATGGCACCTAACAACAATAACAACCTGCCTTGCAGACCCATGCAGGTGGGAGCACCTCCCTCAGGAGCACCACCACCAAGGGCCCTATGCAGAAGGAGGAAGGTGTGGGGCCCAGAGAATCAGAACCACTCCTGAGAGGAGCATGGGCAGTCAGCAGGTGCTGCAGGAACCCAGGCAACAAGCAGGTCCTATAGGGGGAAACAGGCCTGAGCCCCGTCACCCTCCAGGAAGCCTACCACTAGCCCTCTGGCCCTGTGCTCCAGGACCCCC